TTCTTGCTTCTTTTTTTCTTTCTCTTTCTCTTTGTATTCATCTCCCTCATTTATCTCTCCTCCTCTTCCTCCTCGATTGATGTATAATTCATCAATATTTATTTATTTTTAATTATTAAATATTTAAAATAATTTTTATATTATTAAATATTATCTATTGTTAAAATTTTTATATTATTAAAATTTAACTGTTTATTTTTAATAAAATTTAATATTGAAATATAAATTTTTGGCACATATATTAAAAAGAATTTGCAAGTCATGATAATGACCATCAAAATGAAAATAAGATTTTCAATTTACGTCATGTATCCTTAAAAAATGTGATTGAATGGATATTTAATATTTTTAAATTACACTTCACAATTTTTAAGTCAAGTCTCTATTTCTAGTTAAGACATAAGATGAACTTGTATTAGCAGGTCTACGTAACTTTTTTTTTTTTTACAAAGAATGTCGTTCTAATAAATTTATAAATTTTTATTAATTTTATTTTTAATAATATTTAGAAGGATATATTAGATTGAAATTTCGAAAGATAATTTTAACATGAAAAAGTTTTGTGAGTTTTAATGAATTTTAAAAGACTTTGTAGAAATTTCATAATTTTTAGGATTTTTTTCAAAATTTTTAAAACTTGGATTTTAGTCAAGACTTTATAATTGAAATTTTAATGAATTTTAATTTTGATGGATTTATATTATAAGATTTTAAATAATTTCATAAATTTTATAAGAAAACATGGATTTTCTATAAGATTTAATAAACAAAAATAAAAAATAAAAAATAACAGTAATACTACAAGACTTTATTTCTCATTTATTTTGTGTGTCTATGTGATGATTATCATGAAATTGCTATTTTGATAATAATTATGTTCATACATATATGAAGTTGAAGTTTTTTAAAATTGCATATACGATATTAATTAATGTTATTCATAAATAATATATATATATATATATATATATATATATTATTTTATATTAATATTTTTACAAGACAAAATAATAATTCAACTGTTCATACTAGGAAAATTAAAGTAGTTGATATGTAAATGATAAAATTTTAGAATTCAGATTTTGAATATCAATAAATAAATAGGATGATATTGGATGAACTTTTAAAATTAACTAGAAATAGATAATGTCTATATGGTAAAAAAATATGGACAAAAATATTTGTTGATTATTTGTTGGTCATAACTTTTTTCATCAAAATTTGTTGATTTTGTTAGGCTCATATATTCAAAGATTTATTAAACCTTAATTTTTAGCAATTAATCGAAAATAATGAAGACACATGACTTGAATCAATTGACATGCGTGACATGATCTAAATTAAATATTAAATTGGAAAAATTGCAAAATAGTTGTATTATATTAATTTTGCATATATTTCATGATTTAAGTTATTAGTTGATTATTATGACTATAATTTTTTGTTTGTTTATTTGCTTCGTTTCAAATTAAGTAACAAGCATGAAGATAAGATGTGAAACTTCGACATGATTAGACTCGACCAACAATTGACTTAGAAAGACATGAGTAAAATCGACTTAAAATCGGTCGCCATCAACAAAAAATTAACTTGGAAAGACATGAGTAGGACTGTCTTGAAATCGATCTCCATGCTCAAAAAATTGACTTGGAAAAACATGAGTAAGACCGCCTTGCAATCAACCACCATGCGTAAAAATCAACTTGGAAAAATGTGAATAAGAATGCCTTACAATTGACCACCACACACAAAAAATTGACTTGGAAAAACATAAGTAGAATCATCTTGCAATCGACCACCATGTGCAAAAATCAACTTGGAAAGACATGAGTAGGATTCCCTTGCAACTGACCACCAAGCACAAAAATTGACTCGAAAAGACAA